CAACTTGTCGCCTTAAACTTGCATGTCCATGTACAAACAATATGGCGGCAGCCAGAACGCGCCGACTGTCTGATTTTATAATACTTGTGTTACCTAAATTTTCATATATATATATATATATATATGTAATATACATATATATGTGTGTATGTGTGTGTGCACTTACGCGCGCGTAACGTATATTTATAGAATATATCGTATATGCATAGAAGGGCTTTCTATTATTTATTTGCCGTATTGTTCCTGCCGCTACATTGTCTAGCGAGTTTTCGTTAGTTAACTCCGGAGCCCGCGTGGCCCGAGAATTATTCGCCGGAAGCTTCAGCGCAATTATAATCCTCGGGATCCCCCGTCTCCGACGGATTCTCATCACTTTATTCAGCCGGTAAGACTCGCAAGGATAATAGAGGTCCTCATAGAAATCAGAATTGTACTCGTATCGCTGTATTCGTATCATTGTGTCCATCATCGACGACTCTGGCTGCTTCGTATAATCCGTATCTACACTTTCAGGGATTTGCTCTTTTCGCATTATTGATCGATTTTCGCCTCGTCTTTTACTGTTCCGATATAATGGGCGCAGAGTCGCCTGCCAATCGGGGGTTAATAAATCAATTATACGGATAATCGGAATTTTTTTAGCGAGAGAAACTGTTCTCCAGAGAAGATGCCTTCGTCATGCCGAGAAATGCGGCCGAGAAGAAAATAACGTCTCAAATATTGTCCACACGACAATATCGTTTATGTTTGCGTACGTGCGTGTGTGTGTGTGTGTGTGTGTATAAGAGAACGATAGGTTTTTAAATAGAGATTTCAGCGTTCTTCATTAACGACAATGAACAATCGAAGGATATGCTATTAATACGCGAATATTGGTAGAAAAATAACAAGGTACGATTGAGGCAACTCCTTAAGCGTAGTCGGGAAAAGAGAAAATCATGTCTGCGTTGCGAATTGAAATTTTATCGCCGAATCTGTCGTCGATTTTATCGCTGACCTGTCGTTCGTTTGGTGAACGAAGGTAAATGAACCCCGACGCGCTCGAAACTTTATTGAATAGAACGCTTTTGGTACGCTCATAACGTGCAGATCAAATTAATAAGGGGAGATCGGATTCGATGTCGAGATACGATAAAATCGAATCGCGCGTCCGGTTCTTGTAACGTTAAACCTCGCTGTATTTCCGTGCTATTCGAGAAGAACTAGCGGTGGTGGTGGTGGCGGTGGTGGTGGTGGTGGCGATGGCGATGGCCGGCGGTAGTGGCGAGTCCGTCGCAGGAAGTGATAATTATCGGAATCCCGAGGGTTATTAATCGCCGGTATCGAGATTATGATCGAGCCGGCGGGAGGACTTCTCCGGCTGCTGAATAATTCGAGCTCGTGAATTTCTGAGTAATTTGTAAATGTCAAGCGTTCGGCCGCCGTTTACAAGTTTTCCGCCTCGCGCACCCTCTCTCGTCTCTCGGTCTGACAAATCGACCGTTTATACAGGGTGCCTCCCACAGTCACGAACTATTGACATTGCGCGTCGTAATTATGGAGACGCGACATGAAGCGACGGGAAACGACGCGTCGCGTCGTTTCGCATTGATATGCGCCGCCCTTATCGACATGGTGGTTCAATAAAATAATCGATGACACGAATACGTCGGATGAAAGGAGCGACGTAAGAAACGGAAGAAGAACTTTTGTATGATTCACGTTGTTTGTGTAGCGGACGCCGAGATTTCGTCTAATATGGTGATCAAAAAAGAGGAAACGACTTTTTTATCGAGTGACAAGTCCGGCGATCGGGTTTTCGTCGGAATATTTCGAAGACAAAAGAGTAACGTTCACGCGATATATTAGGATATGTGTGTCAGTTTGATGGAAAATTTAAATGTAAATCGCATTAGCTTGCTGGCTAAACGATATTCATCTTGCTTCGATGTTATTATCTCTTGATTATTTCAACAGGATTATTTCTTTCTGTTTCTGTGACTTTGCATGGAATTTATTTCTTTTCTGCGGTATCAAAGGGATTACATCCCGTTAATGAAAGAGGGATAAAGAACGAGGGAAAAATTCATACGACAATAGTGAGGCGAGTGCCGTCGAGTACCGACGAGATTGGTGATCATTGATTTGCCAGCGGGAGTTTCTATCGGCGAAATTTGATTCTCGCGTTCCTCGAGAATTCCGCTTCTTCCGAGGCACCCCGTACATATCGCGATAACAAACGACCCGATAACGGGGATAATGAAAGGAAAAATTCGGGGACCATTTGTCAGGATCGATTTGCCGCGCGACAAGCTCCGGTACGCGTTGAAACGCGAGGAAACTCGGAAACGCGCGGACCACGATCGACTTTCTCGCTCGACCGTATTTTCCAGCCTACTTCTATTACACACACTTCTGTCGCACGGGCGCGCGCGCGCGCGCGCACGCTTATGTCGCTATCAACAATCTACATTTATCTACACACTCGAGCCTCTCGCGACGCGCCGCAGACGCACGTGTTTTAGGTTTAGGTTTCAACTTTAACAAACACCTAATGGTCCAGTACGGGAGGAGGTTTGCGTTGCTTGGCCGTTAATTATACAGTAGATTAGTGCTTAGCCATTTATACAGACTGCCTCGCGCTACGGTCGATTTATTATACACGCGCCATACTCCTCTCTCTCTCTCTCTCTCTCTCTCTCTCTCTCTCTCTCTCTCTCTCTCTCTCTCTCTCTCTCTCTCTCTCTCTCTCTCTCTCTCTCTCTCTCTCCCCCCCCTCTCTCTCTCTCTCTCACTCTCTCTTATCTGTCTTGTTCCGGGCGATCGCGAATACGAACGCTCACCGCTCTCGATTCTCCTCGCCAGGATGCTCTTCGAGGTCAATTTCGAAACCGCGATTTTCGACGGTTCTTCTTATCGGCTCTCTCCATCTCCATCTCCATCTCCATCTCTCTCTCTCTCTCCCTCTCTCTCTCTCTCTCTCTCTCTCTCTCTCTCTCTCTCTCTCTCTCTCTCTTTCTCTCTCTCTGTGCTTTTTCAACGTTTCCTCGATTAATTCCCCGAGATTGCTGCACGATTGCTGCGATCGATCGCGAAACTGCCTTGACGCCGAGCGCTCGGCAGTCTCGACTGTTCGTGGTACTTCTATATTATAACAACGATATAAATCACGCGAGGGCGCGATCAACGTTGGAAAATAAATCACTTGGGATAAATGTAAAATATTTTTATGCAACAATTCGCGAGAGAATTACGTGCTCGCGGCTGATCCTCTTGACGATTCTAAAAGCCGCGGTAGTCCCTCTTCGTCAATCGACAGAGAATTCCTTTGATTTCATACATATATATATCATACATCTGTATATACATTAGCTTTGCGTAGAATTTATATATCGCGTTGATGAAACCGAAAAATCGCGATTACGTGTCCTTCGACGCTGCCGCTGTAGCTTGCCCGTGTCTCATCGACTATTCTCCGCGAATCGCTCGCTCTGGCAAATCACCGCGTAAGCGAGCGTCATCAGCAGCGCGTACGATTGTTAATGACGAACTCGCGATGCAACTCGCGCCGAAGTTACGTCGGTTGCATGTCGATCGCGCAGCAATCTCGTCGCGCAAGATATTCGCTCGATGGCTTGCCGTGCGCGAGCGAAAACGAGAACATGGTCGGTCGGTTGGCCGGTCGGCCGGCCATGCACCGCTCGCCGACGAGCTCCACTTGATTTCGCGCGTTTGACGAACGTATATTCCGTGCCAATCTCGTTTCCGCATCGGACTCGACCTCGAAGCGGCATCGATCGTCGAGCGCGTCGTCGATCATCCGTCGCCAACCCTTTGAGCACTGGCGAGCGGCGCGCAACGCTCGTTATTTTCTCCGTGCGAGTCTCGCCGCGGCGTCACCGCAGTGTCGTCGCCCCGAAATTGTTATTTTCGCGAGCCGCGAGGCGAGTCGAAATGCCGGAACGTGCAACGAGCGAAGTGTCATTTTACGAGCACCAATTCTCTCGCCGCAGAACGCTCCCCGCTCCCCCCCCCCCTCTCTCTCTCTCTCTCTCTCACTTTCTCTTATTCCCCGTGATGTATTCCGCGAATTAAAGGAAGAGACAAGAATAGAGGAGAATGAAATAGTCTCAAAGCGCGCGCGCGTTCATTTATCTCAATGTAGCTTTGAGCACGTGCCAATTTCTCGAAATCCGTGATTTATAATGGCGACCGTCGTGTTGAATTTTATTTGTTACTATCTACATTGACCTGAAGAAACTTGTCGATGTCGAATGGCGAATGGCGCTACTGCTCGACAACTGTACGATGCATGCTCCAGCATTAAGGGGACTGGAGGGTCAGATTACTGAAAAATCGTGCTTGTTTTTGATAATATTTTGTGACGCACTGAATAAATGTGCAAGAATGAAAATTTTACATATATTTATATAACACGAAGAGTAGAAAAATTTTATTTATTAACGATTTATTATTCATATAAATATAGGTCCACTCAAATTTTAAACGCGTTTTTCTAGAAATTTTATTGTTCAACTTTTTGCAGTGATTTCTCCGAAACTGAGCTTCGTATCGATTTGAAATTTTAAAGCAATAATATTTGTTCATCTGGCTCTCAGATGAACCATGGGCAATTACGTCAAAATACTTCATTTCGAGATATTAATTCTTTTATTGTAAAAGAACAGAAAAGTTTGGATTCTTTCCTAATAATAGCTGCCATTTTGTTAATTTTGTTCGATTTTCTTTTTTCTAGTGGTTCACCGGATAATGATAAGCCTCCTCAAGATTTCTAGCTAAAATTCGCTCTGATCGGACCATCGAGAGCCGAGATATTAAAAGAACGACAACTTGAAAAGAAAAGGAGAGTACATCTCAGCTATATATATCGTATATTTATATGAATATTTGTTAATAAATAAAATTTTTCTACTCCTCGTGCGTTGTACAAATATATCTAAAATTTTCATTCCAGCACATTTATTCAGTTCGTCACAAAATATTATCAAAAACAAGCACGATTCTTCAGCAATCTGACTCTCCAGTCCCCTTAAGCCCGCGCTCGCGCAGGCAATGGCGCGGCCGAAAGGGTTGGGGACGAGGCTCGAGGACGGTCGAGGTGCAGTAACAAAAATATCATTAAACATCAATGTACACATTTAATAATATCTTGAACGGGGCGCGGTGAGCGCGAGCGATTCGCGGTCGGCTCGGTAACGCGCCGCTGGTGACCGCCGCGCGGAGCCGCCGATCCGCGTGGCGATCGAGGAGAAGGCGGGAGTGGGTTCGGGGAGCCCTTCTCTTCGTTGATCTGCGCCCTTCAAGGCCACGAGTCCTCGCTCGCCCGCGCGGGCCCTGTCGCGGGGCCCGCCGCGACCACGTGCACGCGACACGTGGCGACCCTCCGCGAGGGAGACGACGTTCGGTCCACGACGCTCTTCGTGGCGTGCCGGTGCCCCTGTCACGAGCCGAAGAGGCAGCTCGACCCGAGGAGGCCGAGCGCGAGCAGAACGACGAGGAGGCCCGGCCGCGACCTGCTGATCGCCGCCTCGTTGCTGTACGGCATCTTCACCTCGACCTCGGCCATCTTGAAGATCGAGAGCAACGGGTGCGTGTGCACCTCGTGGTGCTTGTTGTTGATCTTGTCGCTGAGGTCCTGCATCATCGACGCGCACTCCTCCTGGAAATTGAGACAATGCGTTCAGAAAGGGAAAGAGAGAGAGAGAGAGAGAGAGAGAGAGAGAGAGGGAGAGGGAGGGAGGGAGGATGAGAGAGAACGAAATAGACAGACTCAAGTAGAAATCGGGACATGGGATTTGCGGCACGCAATTCTCCTTTGACATGTACTCCGTTGAGGCGCCAAGCGAATATTTGCACAACCTTGATTTGAATGTACTCGCAGAGTCCACGACAGAGTCGCGCGGCACAGAATTCCACAACGTAGTTGCTGTGTTTCGGAAAGACTGTTTTTTCGTCGTCGTATGCGCCAGCCGCAAGGAGCAAGGGGTTTGTTTTCAACGGCGGTGCGGAGCGTGTTTCTTCTCCTCCTTCCGGCGTTTGTGTAATTGTATTATTGGCGGTATGTTCAGGTTGACCATTAACGAGCACCGGGAAGAGAAAAAGAGAGAAAGAACAAAAGAAAGTAGAGACGAGAGGAAAAAGAAGAAGAAAGAAAAAAAAGAGAGAGAAAGAGAGAGAGAGAGAGAGGGGGACAACAGGGAGAAAGAGGGGGACAAATCGAATCGTTTCGATTCATAGGTGCGCTCGGTTCAATACGAAACGGACCGGACGTCGTCGATATGCCGTTACATAATGTGCCGAATAAATTCTCTTGGCGAGTCGCAAGAAAGTACAATCTCCGTGGAAACGAGCACGAAGGGCGGCGAGGGGAGGACGGGGGGGGAGTGAGGGATAGAGGCTGAGGGAGACGGGGATGGGCGCTAGCACATTTTCCGCTCCACTATCAATAGTTGTTCCGCGAGAATTCCCGGTTTCCCTCGAATACGACTTAACGATGTCGGATGTAACTCCCCCTGCCGCTGCTTCTTCCTCAGACCGAATCCGGCATCGATTTCCATTTTCAACCCTCTCGCCGTCCGCCCGTCTCGCGCTGCCGCGCGCGGTCCTTGTTCCCCGTCTCCGAAATTACCCTCGGCTCGTTGAATCTTTAATTTCCGGCGTGGAAGTCCGCGCGCGAGGCCGGGGGCGATTTTTGGTGATATCTTTCTGGCGCGCCACGTGGCACGACCAGATTTCTCGACGCCGCGCCGTGCCGCGCCGCGCCGCGACCGGGCTCGTTTCGCGCCGGGCGAGCTTTTCGATGAGATTAAATTCCGCGTGGGAGCTGGAATCTTGCGCGAATAACTTCGCCGTGACGAGCCGGCGCGGCTACCACCACGGCGCGGAATGAAAGTTTCGGCGAATTCGACCGTGATATCCTTGGCAGTGGCGCGATAAAAAGGACGATGCGGATTTGGCACGAGTTTTCGAAGGTTTACGATTCACGAGGTGGTAGCACGGAATTATATGTATTTGCTGATTATTGTCACTATCACTTTCCATTAACGACACCCTCGGCGTACCAGCAAAAGTCGAACTATTCGACTTCCTGAGATTCGAGTGAGAGTCATAAGAGAAATCAGATCAAGACGAGCCAAGAGGAAGAAAGAGAAGCATAGATAGTTTTTTCATTATTATTTCGTGATATAATATATGATGATTGTGATCTACACTGATAGAAAAATATAGTTGAATTAACTATAATCTCACTATATTTTATAGCTCATTTTGGCGTCGACCATATTTTTATAGTTGGTGGAACCTGCAAAATATAGTAGAATAAACACAAATATGTAGTCAATGATATGGTCAATGTCTGAAATAATTGTTTAGTTACTTTTACCACATATATGGTAATTTCTCATTCACAAATATAGTGAGATTTAATATTCATATAGATTACATCTGTCATCATTTAGCAAATATTCTGGTAATATTGACTATATAAAAGAGTTACTTTTACCTACCATTTTATATTTGTATCTATACAATAATTTCAGTTTAACTTACTATAATTCTTAGTAAAAATATTATATGGTTGATTATACTATGCCTATATCGTAATTATTACCGATATTATGGTAATACTCACTATAAATATGACTATATCCGGACTATAATTTAGTTACTATATCATTATAGTTCCAAATATCATATACTTTTCTCTCAGCTATATGAAAGTTTTCGACCTGAACTCGGATTCTTTTCAACCGAAATGCGTCCGAGAAATTTCGATTCGACTCTGCATGCGCTTCTTCGCGGTTCGCACCCTGATTGTCCGGTCGTGTCCTCCTCGAGACGTATTTTGCGGCGCGCTTGGTACATGGCATCCGATAGTAAGGATACCGCGAAACAACGTTGCGGCGTATCCGTATATTCGGTAATTAACCCGCAACGCGCGAGAAATTCGAGACTACAATTAGCACCGGCCAATACGTAAAATGAATTATCGCATCGGGCTTTTGTCCGCTCGTGTTTGTGTGGGCGTCATTATTGTTCCGCGCAGTTCCATTCAATTAGCCTAAAAACCCGGCCGGGCATATACGGAATGTTTCGCGCTTCCTTTTATCCGCGGACGTCGCGTAATTTTAGGTCAAGCGTAATTACGGGATTCAGAAATTTAAAATGGCAGTCACACGGCCCGCGAGAAAGTGAAAAAGGGAGGAGGAATTAAATGAATGTACGAGCGGCTCGAATCAACGAACTTTAAAAAAGTCTTCGAATTACATTTCGTCGTGATAAAATCGCGAGGATAGAGATTTCACTTCCGTATCATTCTCCGACTTATGATTTTTTTAGATATACGCGCCATAGATGTCGGCGGTGAGTCTTTTGTGGACACGCACGGAAATATGCGCTATAATGGTAACAATGGTGTTGTTGAGTCAATCAAATATTTAAATCGTTATTTAAACGACCTCGTGTCGATGTAACGCATATACATTTTTTAACTATAATTTTCAGATTTTAAGCTTTTAATTTCCGGAGAGTGATACGGTTTAATTGGAAATTAAAATTTTTATTCAGTATACGATTCAAATATTCAGATCTATGACGTGGTCGCGCAACCCTTTCTGAAGAAATACATATTAGACGGCTATATGATAATAAAAAATGAATATTATTTAGAACAATATTGTAAAAGTCATAATAAATATTGTATCATAATTGCAAACTTGGTGTAAAAATTCAAACAGATATTCCTCGATGTCTTAAAAAAAGTTGAAGAGAAAATAAAAAGAAATTAATATCGAAGATCTATTTCTTAGACCTGTGTAATTATTTATTCTTCAACTTCTACAAAACTAAACTGAATGGAAAAAAGAGAACTAAAGTGTCGTGTTACTAAATAGTACTTCAGTCTGAGAAAATATATATTTTCAATAAATTAAGATCTTTCCACAGGTCAGGAAAATATAACACAACCAAGACTCAAGACACTCAAGCTTTTCAGCAGAATCAATCTTGTATATATCTAGCTTATTTATTTATTAGCTAATTTATTAATTTATCTTCACGGCGAGGTCGTTGATTGAGGCATTCGTCTTGCGCCTCGAATTTCCGCGCTTAAGCGGTCATGTTTGTCGTGACTAATGACTTTGCGTTACGCGATTTGAGCATCGAAGGCCAAGTTACGTGTGTAACGCACGCGCCCCGGTCATTTATTTCAAGCTTCGCTGTATCATCATAATTTTGTTAGGACAAGAAGTCACCGAGGCATTTAATTACCGTGTGTATGTATTGTGTGTTGTTCCGCGCACTCGGATTCCCTACCAGAATAATCCGGCTTTGAATGCAAATGCGCGGTGTAACTCCATTTTTTTTCTCACATCGGGATTATCCGGCAGATTCGCAACAGTATTGTATGCTGCGGATATGCAACTCCTACTTTTTTCACCACGAGGATTGCGCTGCTTATCTCCCTGCTTTAGCCGACACGCGCTTAATTTTTCCCTGGATAATATTTCATTTAACACGGCACCGCCGCGAAGTATCTATACAACACGTAATGATTTTTCCGCGTTTGTTTCCTCAATGAAACATCAGTTCCACCAGCGAAAATGCCAAATGATTCAATGGGGATCTTAATGAAGCTAAAAGTCAAACCGCTTTTGTAATTCAAATTGTATAATCTTCACGGACTTCTTGAGTCCGCGTTGAATTATTTGCCAGTGTAAATCAATTTTATCAGAGATATTTGACAAGAAGAAGACATTTCTCTAATTGGAAAATTGCTACGAGCTTCTTGCCTGCGTCCCAATTAGCAACGCTTTAAAGCGCGTGCGCGCGCGCGCGCGTATCTAATAATAGAATACAATTTTTCCGATGCAAATGTAAGAAATATACGTTTATATAGAATTCTTATCCATACAGAAACGAGATGCACTTTACATATCTTTTCAATATAATTCGATACATTCTGCGTTTAATCCGATTGCATCTTTCACATTTATTTGTTCGTTCCAACGAACGTAACCGTAATTCCAAATTGCCTCGGCTGGCAATTCGCAGCCGTTCCGTTTTCCCGCCGGACGTCGATCGTCCGCGTTATCGCTCGTTAATTTTATTCCATTCTAAGAATATCCTCGATCGCACGGCAATGGTATCGCTCCTACGTTAAAATAATTAATTGCAATTCAAATGATCGCGATTCGATCGCGCTAGTTGCCGCGATTTCGTGCCGAATCCAACATTCGGCTGTTTACGTCGCTTGTTTAACGTTATGCTTTAATTAATACCGAGCTGTGCCTCACGACGAAACTCACCAGCAGCTCGATGGTCGTTCTAATTTACGCTCTCTTGTATTATGCGGTACAAGCCTCTTCTACCGTATTAATCCAGGGTTAGGAATACATCCGCGTTACGTTGTTCTCTGCTGAAATAATTTCACAGGTTCGCAGGTAGACACTCGGTACAATACAATTGTTCGAAAATTTCCAGATGCGCGAGCATGTAAACACACAACACGCTCACGCACGCGCGCGTACACGCACACGCGCGCGCAGGGGGCGCGAGCTGATAAATCATTTGTATGAATAGCTAATTTTAGAAAGCGCGGATATATCTCCCGCGAATATAACGTCGAGCCCGCCCAGAAAGGATCATGCGATGTGAGCGATC